TGTTTGAGTAATAGAGTTTTGTGACATGTTTGGGTAACAGAGTTTTCTGACATATTTTGGTAACAGAGTTTTGTGACATGTTTGGGTAATAGAGTTTTGTGACATGTTTGGGAAATAGAGTTTTCTGACATGTTTGGGTAATAGAGTTTTCTGACTTGTTTGGGTAACAGAGTTTTCTGACATGTTTGGGTAATATAGTTTTCCGACATGTTTGGGTAATAGAGTTTTGTGACCTGTTTGGGTAATAGAGTTTTGCGTCATGTTTGGGTAATAAGAGTTTTCTGACATGTTTGGGTAATAGAGTTTTCTGTCATGTTTGGGTAACAGAGTTTTCTGACATGTTTGAGTAACAGAGTTTTCTGACATGTTTGGGTAATATAGTTTTCCGACATGTTTGGGTAATAGAGTTTTGTGACCTGTTTGGGTAATAGAGATTTCTGACATGTTTGGGTAACAGAGTTTTCCGACATGTTTGGGTAATAGAGTTTTGTGACCTGTTTGGGTAATAGAGATTTCTGACATGTTTGGGTAACAGAGTTTTCCGACATGTTTGGCTAATAGAGTTTTGTGACAAGTTTGGGTAATAGAGTTTTGTGACATGTTTGGGAAATAGAGTTTTCTGACATGTTTGGGTAATAGAGTTTGTAATAGAGTTTTGTGACATGTTTGGGTAATTGAGTTTTCTGACATGTTTGGGTAACAGAGTTTTCCGACATGTTTGGCTAATAGAGTTTTGTGACAAGTTTGGGTAATAGAGTTTTGTGACATGTTTGGGTAAAAGAGTTTTCTGACATGTTTGGGTAACAGAGTTTTCCGACTTGTTTGGGTAACAGAGTTTTCTGACATGTTTGAGTAACAGAGTTTTCTGACATGTTTGGGTAATATAGTTTTCCGACATGTTTGGGTAATAGAGTTTTGTGACCTGTTTGGGTAATAGAGTTTTGCGTCATGTTTGGGTAATAAGAGTTTTCTGACATGTTTGGGTAATAGAGTTTTCTGACTTGTTTGGGTAACAGAGTTTTCTGACATGCTTGGGTAATAGAGTTTTCTGACATGTTTGGGAAATAGAGTTTTCTGACATGTTTGGGTAATAGAGTTTTCCGACATGTTTGGGTAATAGAGTTTTGTGACCTGTTTGGGTAATAGAGATTTCTGACATGTTTGGGCAATAGAGCTTTCTGACATGTTTGGGTAATAGAGTTTTCCGACATGTTTGGGGAATAGAGTTTTCTGACATGTTTGGGTAATAGAGTTTGTAATAGAGTTTTGTGACATGTTTGGGTAATCGCGTTTTCTGACATGTTTGGGTAACAGAGTTTTCCGACTTGTTTGGGTAATAGAGTTTTGTGACATGTTTGGGGAATAGAGATTTCTGACATGTTTGGGTAACAGAGTTTTCCGACTTGTTTGGGTAACAGAGTTTTCTGACATGTTTGGGTAATATAGTTTTCCGACATGTTTGGGTAATAGAGTTTTGTGACAAGTTTTGGTAATAGAGTTTTCTGACATGTTTGGGTAATAGAGGTTTCTGACATGTTTGGGTAATAGAGTTTTCTGGCATGTTGGGTAATAGAGTTTTCTGACATGTTTGGGTAATAGAGTTTTGTGACATGTTTGGGAAATAGAGTTTTCTGACATGTTTGGGAAATAGAGTTTTCTGACATGTTTGGGTAATAGAGTTTTCTGACATGTTTGGGTAATAGAGGTTTCTGACATGTTTGGGTAATAGAGTTTTCCGACATGTTTGGGGAATAGAGTTTTCTGACATGTTTGGGTAATAGAGGTTTCTGACATGTTTGGGTAATAGAGTTTTCTGACTTGTTTGGGTAACAGAGTTTTCTGACATGTTCGGGTAATAGAGTTTTGTGACATGTTTGGGTAATAGAGTTTTCTGACATTTTTGGGTAATAGAGTTTTCTGACATGTTTGGGAAATAGAGTTTTCTGACATGTTTGGGTAATAGAGTTTGTAATAGAGTTTTGTGACATGTTTGGGTAATCGCGTTTTCTGACATGTTTGGGTAACAGAGTTTTCCGACATGTTTGGCTAATAGAGTTTTGTGACAAGTTTGGGTAATAGAGCTTTCTGACATGTTTGGGTAATAAGAGTTTTCAGACATGTTTGGGTAATAGAGTTTTCCGACATGTTTGGGTAATAGAGGTTTCTGACATGTTTGGGTAATAGAGTTTTCTGGCATGTTTGGGTAACAGAGTTTTGTGACAAGTTTGGGTAATAGAGTTTTGTGACATGTTTGGGTAATCGCGTTTTCTGACATGTTTGGGTAACAGAGTTTTGTGACATGTTTGGGTAATAGAGTTTTCTGACATTTTTGGGTAATAGAGTTTTCTGACATGTTTGGGTAATATAGTTTTCCGACATGTTTGGGTAATAGAGTTTTCTGACATGTTTGGGTAATAGAGTTAACAGATGAAGGTCCTACATGTTTGTGAATGGTAATAAATTACACAGTTTTGTTTACCAATCAAGGGTCCTCAGCAGAATACAAAGAATTCAGAATTAAAGGTCCTCCAGAAATGGCACGAAAACAAATTCTGTGCTATAAACATCTAATTAAAAGTATCAATTAAAGTGTTGCTCTTTAACACAGTTTATACCGTACCCTTTGTTCCCTCATACAATATCCCAGAAACTTAACAGGTCGTACAGGTCCGTTTCATTACTAAAAAATGTAACGACCATTCTGGGTAGTTAAGTCTTGTTTTGTGATCTATGAAACCTGTAAAATTAAGATAGACGTTTTAAAGTTCAGCTGCCAGAAACAGTTCCATATGTTATCAACCAGACGAACGTTTGGCCTATAACAACTATAGATATGATAATAAAACGTTTTTTATCGGTATATATTCCGGCTTCCTTGTCTAGAACACGACAGCAGCATTTTAGTGTCACCTTACTCTTCCTTTCGAATAATTGGAAGTTTAGTGATATATATATAGGAATATTTTAATATTTTTCTAAAAACTATTGAGAGCTTGAAAAACAATTTTCACAAAACAATTTTCTTTAACTTAATTTAAAAAGTTGGACAGTTAAGTACACTTGTCATTGGTTTCAGCACATGAATATTGGCTTTGTGTTCATAGTAGCAATGGCTTCCTGCAGATTTTAAATGATTGCATTTAACATAGGGCTATAAATCAGAATAATCCTATACTTGAAGTAGGAAATGCAAATTTTAAGTGAACAAGGTATATTAAGGATGTATAATACATTACTGTGACATGATTCTGTTTTCCAAAAGTTATTCACTGAGTCAATGTACCTCCTCTCTGAAGAGTTCCACACCGAGTCGATGTACCTCCTCTCTAAAGAGTTCCATACTGGGTCAATGTAACTCCTCTTTGAAGAGTGCCACACTGGGTCAATGTACTGGGTCAATGTACCTCCTCTCTGAAGAGTTCCACACCGAGTCGATGTACCTCCTCTCTTAAGAGTGCCAAACTGGGTCAATGTACCTCCCTCTGAAGAGTGCCACACTGGGTCAATGTACCTCCTCTCTGAAGATTGCCACACTGAGTCAATGTACCTCCTCTCTGAAGAGTTCCACACCGAGTCGATGTACCTCCTCTCTAAAGAGTTCCATACTGGGTCAATGTAACTCCTCTTTGAAGAGTGCCACACTGGGTCAATGTACTGGGTCAATGTACCTCCTCTCTGAAGAGTTCCACACCAAGTCAATGTACCTCCTCTCTGAAGAGTTTTGCACCGAGTCAATGTACCTCCTCTCTGAAGAGTTCCACACCGAGTTGATGTACCTCCTCTCTGAAGAGTTCCACACCGAGTCAATGTACCTCCTCTCTGAAGAGTGCCACACTGGGTCAATGTACCTCCTCTCTGAAGAGTGCCACACTGGGTCAATGTACCTCCTCTCTGAAGAGTGCCACACTGGGTCAATGTACCTCCTCTCTGAAGAGTGCCACACTGGGTCAATGTACCTCCTCTCTGAAGAGTGCCACACTGGGTCAATGTACCTCCTCTCTGAAGAGTGCCACACTGGGTCAATGTACCTCCTCTCTGAAGAGTGCCACACTGGGTCAATGTACCTCCTCTCTGAAGAGTGCCACACTGGGTCAATGTACCTCCTCTTTGAAGAGTGCCACACTGGGTCAATGTACCTCCTCTTTGAAGAGTGCCACACTGGGTCAATGTACCTCCTCTCTGAAGAGTGCCACACTGGGTCAATGTACCTCCTCTCTGAAGAGTGCCACACTGGGTCAATGTACCTCCTCTCTGAAGAGTGCCACACTGGGTCAATGTACCTCCTCTCTGAAGAGTGCCACACTGGGTCAATGTACCTCCTCTCTGAAGAGTGCCACACTGGGTCAATGTACCTCCTCTCTGAAGAGTGCCACACTGGGTCAATGTACCTCCTCTCTGAAGAGTGCCACACTGGGTCAATGTACCTCCTCTCTGAAGAGTGCCACACTGGGTCAATGTACCTCCTCTCTGAAGAGTGCCACACTGGGTCAATGTACCTCCTCTCTGAAGAGTGCCACACTGGGTCAATGTACCTCCTCTCTGAAGAGTGCCACACTGGGTCAATGTACCTCCTCTTTGAAGAGTGCCACACTGGGTCAATGTACCTCCTCTCTGAAGAGTTCCACACTGAGTCAATGTACCTCCTCTCTGAAGAGTGCTACACTGAGTCAATGTAGAATTCAATACTTAGTCAATGCTACGCCTTTCTGAAGAGTTCCACTATTTTATATATAAAATATGATACAATGGTCAATGGGAGTTGTGACCAAGGTTACTTGTGTATACTAAACTGTATATTAATATTGTGAAATGTATCCGGGAGTTGTGACCAAGGTTAATTGTGTATACTAAACTATATATTAATATTGTGACAGGTATCCGGGAGTTGTGGCGAAGGTTACTTGTGTATACTAAACATTATGTTCATATTGTGACAGGTATCCGGGAGTTGTGACCAAGGTTAATTGTGTATACTAAACTATATATTAATATTGTGACAGGTATCCGGGAGTTGTGGCCAAGGTCAACTCTACTGACGGCAAGTGGAAGGTCAAGTTTGACAACAACCCTAAGGACAAGTATGATAAATGGTGAGTACATCTTAGTTGTGCAGTTTGATTTCTTCCTCATCTAAAGCTGGAGCTGGAGTGGAAATCAAGAGGATTTAAAAGTTATGGTAGTATTTCAGTGTTCCCACTGAATTTTAGATTTGGGGGTTTATTTGATACATTTGATACATTTTCAGGATTCTGTTTCCCTTGGTACTTAGTTATATACATGCTGTGCAAAAACTGTGGAAAACTGGGGGTACAATCAACTGTTTTGGGGGCGATCCTCATACGGGGGTTTCTTAGAACACTGGTTTTTAGCAAATTTTTAAAAACAAAACCTATAAGATATTTATGAAATGAACATTTGTGGTGAAGGGGAGACGTGTGAAACAAGGGTTCAGGTATACATTAGAGGTGATCTTATCCTAAGTGGTACCTATCAGGCATTCTAGATTCACACACAGCAATCTGACTGATGTCTGGGGAAACAAGGATGTTGTATTTTTTTCCAGAATATTCCACCACACAAGATTTAATACACACCTATTGATTGGTACACCTAATCTGTAATTTCTAGAAACTGAAATAGAGCCAAGTTACTTTTCTTGGTGTTGAAGCAGCGTCTTAGGGTACCTAGTTTCTTGACTATCAGGAACAAGTTGGAAGTTGTCGCTGATATACAATTGAAAGTATTAAGGTTAACAGCACAGGTGATGAAAAGAGAATGGATTATGGAAAAAGACAATATGATCTTCCAAGGCTTCCAGTATTTCTCACGATTTCACTCATCTGTTATGGCTGACACACATTCAGGTATCGTTAAAAGAAAAATTACCTCCAAGTGTTTGGTGATAAAATGGAGGTAGGTAAAATGTTCACAAAAATATATTGACATTTAAAGTATTATTGCCTGGAACAGTTTGTCAAGTCTAGCATAGACGTTTGTTTCCTGAAGGTCGTATATCTATACCTACTATACCTACTATACCTACTATACCTACTATACCTACTCTACCTACGCTACCTACTATCCCTACTATACCTACTATACCTACTATCCCTACTATACCTACTATCCCTACTATACCTACTATCCCTACTATACCTACTATCCCTACTATACCTACTATACCTACTATACCTACTATTCCTACTATACCTACTATACCTACTATCCCTACTATACCTACTCTACCTACTATACCTACTATTCCTACTATACCTACTCTACCTACTATACCTACTCTACCTACTATACCTACTATTCCTACTATACCTACTATACCTACTATCCCTACTATACCTACTATCCCTACTATACCTACTATCCCTACTATACCTACTATCCCTACTATACCTACTATACCTACTCTACCTACTCTACCTACTCTACCTACTATACCTACTATCCCTACTATACCTACTCTACCTACTATACCTACTATACCTACTCCTCCTAGACCTACTATACCTACTATACTTACTATACCTACTATACCTACTATACCTACTATACCTCCTCTACCTACTCTACCTACTATACCTACTATACCTACTATGCCTACTATACCTACTCTACCTACTCTACCTACTAGACCTACTATACCTACTATACCTACTATACCTACTATACCTCCTATACCTACTATACCTACTATACCTACTATACATACTCTACCTACTATACCTACTATACCTACTCTACCTACTCTACCTTCTATACCTACTATACCTACTATACCTACTATACATACTCTACCTACTCTACCTACTATACCTACTATCCCTACTATACCTACTATCCCTACTATACCTACTATACCTACTATACCTACTATCCCTACTATACCTACTATCCCTACTATACCTACTATCCCTACTATACCTACTATCCCTACTATACCTACTATCCCTACTATACCTACTATCCCTACTATACCTACTATCCCTACTATACCTACTATACCTACTATACCTACTATCTATACTTACTATACCTACTATACCTACTATACCTACTATTCCTACTATACCTACTATACCTACTATCTATACCTACTATACCTACTATACCTACTATACCTACTCTACCTACTGTGTCGCCATCTATAAGTTATACTTCTTTAATTAGTTGAGACAGTGCTTAATTAGTTGAGACAGTGCTATTGGTTGTGAGGGCTGAATTTTACAGAAAAGCCTCCAGTTTTGACAATTTAATACTTACAGTATGGTCACAAAAGTTATTATCCTCATCGGTAAAGAAATACTTGACATGATTTCATTGGCTGTTGAAGGTCTTTATCTGAGCTGTGCCGATATAACTTATCGTTTTAACTACTCAGGTTTTGGTCACAAAGCCTTTTGTCTTTATCAATTAAGAAATTCACTTTGATTGTGATTGGCTGGTGAGTTGTTTACGTGATGTATAGCCTACCGTTTTATTGTTTAACTACCTATGTTTTAGCCACATGGCCTCGCTCCTGTCCACAAATTATAGTAGTAAGGAAAAGCTTGTCAGGAACCTGTGCTATTCAGTGAAATCACACCTGGCCCGCTAATTTTCTCCCGCGCTGTATCGCTGAAGTGTTTGGCTATAATGGAACCCACTAGATATGTCAGGCAGGGCTTTTCTTGTTGTGTGTTCTTACAGTATAACAACACGGCAGGGAATTACAAATTTATTTCTTGTTAAGTGATTAAGTATTTATGAGCAGTGTTGCTGGGGTTGAAGAGAGAAATTGAAGCTTCGGTACTCCACACAATTTCTATGTCTTACTTGTAAAATTACTAAAGTCCCTGTAGGGCTATCATTGAGGACGAGGAAATGATCCGGTTCTAGTGGGCTTCCATCAACCCAGCGTACCAGTCAGTTTCAATATCTCCCTCTCTGGCAATCCAAATGACTTTTGGTCCTACCATTTTATTGGTCAGCCCGAAATGGTTCGACAAAATTGTGATGGTGTTGTAAATATTTGATTATTGTTGCACTGTTTATTGTATAAAGCAATACTGGGGAAGCATACATCTTGCTGACTACGGTTACCAGCTGTATTGGTACTGGGTACTCAAACGTCTCGCAGTCCGAGCCTCGCAGCTTTACAACTTCAGTGGGAAGATGGAACATTTTATGGTTTCTCTCAGACTCATAGTCATAAAAGTTGTTGCATTTGTTAGAATTACCATCTATTTTGGAGAATGGACTTCCTTACATACGTGCCACGTCTTATAGAACATCAGTTCTGCTTATGTGCTTCGTCACAAAACACTGTCAACAAATCCTTATCTACATCGCTAATGGTTACTCCTACAGAAGTAGTGCAAAATGCAGCTTTAATTTCTGCATCATCTTCTTGACAATAGATCTTGAATTTCAGGATATAAATGAATTTATACCGGTTGATTTTGTAATAATACTGTCACCAGCAAGCACAAAGTGTGTTCCTTTCAGAAGTGTTTCTGTAGTTATGTAAACTTTTAAACTTGGTTATCTTGGCAGAGTTAATAATTGAACATAATTCATAACACTGATTAAGAATGCACATAAATGGTGATGTAAAAGGATCCCAAAATGCACAAAAGCCTTTTGTGAGGGGCGTGTCATAAAATGGCACATGTATTTCGGCCGCTATGATACTCAGGCTGGTGGCCATGCCGGTATTTTTGTTTCTATCTCGTAAATAAGATCATTATGCAATGAATGTCTCTATATGCTACCTTTTTTCTAGACAGCAAAATTATTATTGTATGTTTTTTATAACTCAAATTGTCACATTTTCGATCTGAATATTAATTCCACACCTAAACTTGGTTATCTTGGAAGAGTTAATAATTGAACATAATTCATAACACTGATTAAGAATACACATAAATGTAGCCCCAATGACCGTATGTGGTTGTGCTTCATCCCTTGTCTGTCCTACAATTATTATATTAAACAAAATCTCCCAAACTACTGAGTGGAGTTCAACCAAACTTCAGTGGAAACATCCTTCTGCCATGGGGATCAAACGTGATACAAATAAAAGGGCTGACCCTCATGAGAGCTTTGAGAGGGATTGGGGGTCTAAGTGGTGAAATGGGCTTATTTGCTTTTAGCAATATTTCTTCACTAACTTCTCAACCAAATTTTAGTGGTAGCATCCTCAGTCTTTGAGGCTATAGGGCCTGTTAATGTGGTAAGGGACCAAGGGAGGCAAGTTCAGAAAAGAAAGTGATAGGGGTAGATAAGAACATGTATAGCATTTTGGGAGCCTTTTACACCACCTTATGGTTTTGTTGGGTCTATTATTCGCCCTTTGCCTGCAGATACAGAAGGCAGCAGCAATAAATCACATGATATATATATGAAGTTATACATGATGAATAAAAATTACTAGATACATATAATATTCTGATAATAATATAATATAGTATAGTTTGAACATTTAAATTTCAAATTCATTTGTCTGTTTTATTGGTGCCCACTCTGTACTAGGAGTGATTTTACAAGAGTTCATCTTTTTAACTAAATCACTAGTAAATGAATTTGATTAGTGAATCTGAGGTTATCCTCTTCTAGTACTAATGGTTACAAGTGGGAACTGTACAAGTGGTCCTGTGTGTCGGGGAACATTTTGTCTCTGCGGGCTATCTGGAATATTTATAGACCCATTCACATCAAACTTTTCCGTAAGATATGTTCCGGGGTGATACAGGTTGCTTTGGAAAACAATGCATAATAATAATATCTATTACATTATGGAAAACAGCTGAATTCTGATTGGTTGATAGTTTCCTCAGGATTGTTTGAAATATTTTCTTAACAAAGTTTGTTTTTGGTATGATGACAATAATCTGCACATAATTACTTACGCTATGGTAAATACCGGTAGGTGATATCTGATTGGTTGACAATTCATTAGAATGCAAACAAATATGTATATAAGAAATTAAAGATTTTACATGATAACTGTCAAAGAAATAAAATTTAAAAAAACCAATAAATTGATGTATAAATTGTGATTTGGTCATCCTGCTAAATGTACAACCTCTGTGTTTCCTTGTTGAAGTTGTCTTGTTAGGGACAACAATAAAAGGAGGATGGCATTTACGTTAACGTTATCAGGAAACGAAACCAGGATGCCAGGTCTATAAATAGAGAAGAATCAGAAAAGTGTAATATGTTTCTTCGTCACTATTACTTGTGTGTGAAACCCATTGTTTATAGTTCTTGTACACACAGTTGGTGCATTACGGAGAAGTTTCCTCTACCAGTTATTGTGTCTTGTCGAGTGACTTCTGGATGGTCCTCGACCAATAATAACGGTAATATACTTGGGACAGCCTCGCGGGAAGTGGTGAGGACAGAGCATTGTACGGAAACCCGTCCTCACGACCTCTCCCCTGACTTTAAATGTGCAAGAAGACGAGCCAAGGCACTTATAATGTGTAGAAGAACTTAGATTAATTTATGCTTCAGTGCATAAGCCAGGTCTCCGAAGACGGACATCTTTGCCACCTAATGGAAAGCAAGCTTTTATTTACACAATGAGAGTATTTAAATCTAATGGTCATAATTGCTTAGCCCTTCAAGTATTTAAGAAGCAAATTAAAGGCAAACCTTGGGGAGTATCGCTTGACTTGGGGGCTGGCCCACTTATCCATTTGTCAAAGGAAATTATACGCACCGTTGACACTGATGAAATTTTAATTAGTATGCTTGTGTCTCAGTTGGATACATTCTGCTCGGGCAGCCCCCTACAGATAGTACTTCTATTGCCATTACAATCACAGTCATATCTGCTGTGTAATAATTCCATGCACAAAAGCTTTTTGTGAGGGGCGTGTCATAAAATGGCACATGTAATTCGGCCGCTATGATACTCAGGCTGGTGGCCTTGCCGGTATTTTTGTTTCTATCTCGTAAATAAGATCATTATGCAATGAATGTCTCTATAGGCTAACTTTTTTATACAGCAAAATTATTATTGTATTTTTTTGATAACTCCAATGTCACATTTTCGATCTGAATATTAATTCCACACCTACATTTTATTATAGTACACAAAATAATATAGCATACAAAAAGATCTTTGGCACTGATTTTCATTAAATTTTTGATGAACAAAAATAACCGAAGAACTTTTCTTAATTTTTTTCCGTTGTGTATCAAAATTACTCATTCAATATGTAATGGATTGAAAGGAAATTTAACTGATTTTCTGCATTGAAATATCATTTAACATTGTTTACTATTTAATGAAAAACTAAATATCTACCTGGTACCTTAAATCCATAACTTTTGATTTTATTTAGAAAATAATATACTTGCTTAAAAAGTAGCCATTTAATAATTTCATGACAAGTTGGAAATTAAAAAAAAAAAAATCAAACACATTTAAAAAAATAATTCTCTGATACAATCTGTATAATTATCTTTTGTTAAAATTTCCATGATCACACCTGATACAATTTAATCCTATTTCAACCATTTATCGACTTTCAAGAGCGAGATGTAAATGTCACCATTGAATTATTGAAACATGTGGAGAAGAATAGCATAGCATTGTTGTGCGTGGAGTCCATTGTACTTCCCCAAGGCTACCGTGAATTCTTACCAGTGGAGTTGAACTAGGTGAACTGCGGAAGTGAAATAAATTTCGTACTGTCTCGTAAAAATTTAAACTTTAAAAAAAAAAGTGAACATTAGGTTATGTTAGTTGATAGATAATCTAATTTTGTGTGTTAACTCATCAGAAAGCACACTTAGGGTGATAATTTTATCAAGAAAGGTGGAACTACAAATTAAATCTTGATTGAATTATGCATGAAGGGGAGGACTACTCCCATGCACTTTTCAAGTCGTGATCTCTCTGATTTCTTTCCGCTTTTGTGAGTTGGGGTCATAGAAGGAATTATGGTGGACAGAAGGAGACCCTCGTTTATAATAGAGACTGCCCCACCTCCTCACTAGGGGGTGGGGCAGATATGTTTTATGGTGACTTGGCTGTGCGTTATCAATGATTATTGTACAAACGGAATTGGAAAATTAAAGAGACACTATAGATTTAGGAGAGACAGAGTTTTATATATGGTCCTTCAAACAATGGCAAAATAAAGATCAATTAGGAAGTATTCTTAATTGGCAACAGATTTTGACATCAGTAAAACAAGTTCCTTTGACGGTTCAACTCCTCATCTTCTTGTTGTCCGTAATAAATCTAAACACGTTCGTTGATCTGAAGATCGGGTGTACATTACAGTGAGGAGAATGGGGTTTGTTCTTGTGATTTAAAGCTGAAATAAATAGCTACCAAGTAGTCAATGGAGAGCTTGCAAATAGTGAAATGAAAAAAATCATAAATACATTTCTCTAGAAAATTCACTCACAAAAAACAATTGTCAGTTGTATTGCTTTATTAGAAACAATGATTTTGCTATGAAAAAAAAAGATGAAAACTAAATTGATTTAATTATTTTACTTTAAATTTTAGGTTACATAAAATGTTTTTTTTTGTGAAAGTAGCTCAAATAAAATTAAAAAATAATGTTTACTAAAGTAACAAGCCTAGGTAGTTATTATGAATAAAAAATATATTCTGAATTGATTATCTGTGTTGAAGAAAGCTGGAATCATTCTTGGTTTGTATAGCTAGGATGTAAAAGTACAGGATGTAGGCTATGGGGTTCCCTGTTGGATTTACCAGTAGACATAGAAAAGCTTGTACGCAATACATCAGACTTTTACAATTCTTGGTGGTCAGTCGACTCAGGCTGATTGAATGAAGTATGACACAGCAGTGGTCAGATAATTTGGTAAAACGTCCATCTTTGGGCGTGTGCCTAGGGAGGCCTGTGGTCAGTCTGGCACCAGCTGTATATGGTGAGAAATTCTCCACTAAGTCTCGCGTATGTTCAGCATTATTCACTGGCCTGACCAGTGAAATGGGACGCAGATCATTGGCTGCAGCCGATATGTGTCCAAGGCTGTTGTGTGGAAACAGTGGGCGCTGACACTTGACATGAAAAACAAGATGGTCTGTTGTTGTAAATACTTGTAACACTTGTATCATCTCATCAAATTGAATGGGGCTTAAACTTTTAACAAACACTGTGTTAAACCGGTTTAATGATCCTTAATTATGTCGAGTGTTGACATGATGGCGTGTGCCGTAGCGTCCCTATAGGGGACTCATTCACGGCCCTTGAAAGGGAGCTCCCTACTCATGGTGGGGCACCATATACAACACCCTACACTAACAATACCTTGTCTATCATTACCCAACACACGTCCAGCAGCGAGGCGTACAGCCACCTCGGGTAATTGCAGCAAATTAATTCTGTATAAACCCCAAACATATTGGGAGGCAAATCTCTGTTATGTTTCCCTTTCAATCTTAATGTTCTCTCCAGGATCAAACTCGCAGCCTTTACAGAACCTGTAATGTTGGCAGTGTTATCAAAATCCGATCAGCTATTTTGTAACTATGCTTACAGATAAATGATGACAAATTTGGGATTCTATTTTGAGTTTAGAATGACAAAGGACAGAGTGGTGGTTGATCTGTTGAGTGAAGTTCTGGCACGCGGCCACACGCGTAGGAGTGCAGAAAAGCAATACTGATGTCAAATAGAATCTCCACTGGCTAAATAATCATTAATTATCACTCAATTAGACTAAATTTCAAACGCTTTAAAATAGCAGAATATTATCTGATCTGAATGCCACAGTCTAGTAAAGGCGGTGGGTGGAGTATCTATATTTACAGAATCTAGGCGTATAGTTCACATGAACATTGCTGGAATTTCAAAGAAAGAAACAGCAGTGTAATAAAAAAAATCCTTGATTTTAATAAAATTCAATTCTTGAATATGCTAGAATATTGTAGAAAGAATCAACAGTGTAATACAATTTTACCTTGATTTTGATAAAATTCAATTCTTGAATATTGCTAGAATATTTTAGAAAGAACCAACTGTAAAAAAACCACTTGATTTTAATAATAAAAAATCTAATCCAAGAAATTCAGTTGAGACTCATTTATCAGACAGTTAAGTTTGCGTATCAAAGTCTGGAATTAAAAATTCATGTACAGTCATAAAACATGAATTGTTAAGAAATTACCGTTGTGAAAGTAATAAAATATACTGAGCATTCTGGGGTTTCTTTACAGGTTTGACAAGAGCAGCTCTGACATCAGGTTAAAGGTCAGTATACAAGGTCACCTGTACATATCAAAGACAACAAGTCCGATCTTCCTATTTTATCGAAATTTGAAAATGTTCGCAAATGAAGGTGTGAGTGTTAAGTGCAATGATGACAGAACATGAAAGTTTTGGTTTAAGGTCTAATTATTATATTTAAAATCTTGATTACAATGAAGCTAATTATTATGTTAATTACAATATTATTTATAATTATCAATTATTAATTGTTATGATGGTTTCTGAAAATCATACTTGTGGACAGTCACACTTTGAAAGTAAGATCCTAAAAATGTAAATGTCAATGAAAACCAAATGAAGTAAAATTGTAAATAAAAATGTGCTGATTGTATATTAATCATACATCATCAGAGTGGTCAGCCGATCCCGGAGTCCCAGACCCCATCATCCCCCGCCTCCTCTCAGGATACAGCAGCAGAGGCTCCCTCCTCCTCCACCACCACGACCACCACCGGCGCCACGCCCTCCAGCCAGATAACTGAGGAAATCGCCAATGGTTACAGGTAAAGCAGATATCAAAATTAACAGTTGCAGAAACTTCTAGAGTTTGATTTTATCTTGAAATGCTCCATTGTAGGAGAATTCCTGGAGCTGAGAACAGTGGAAATCTTCTTTTACTCAATATGAAAAATTAGAAGGGTCATTATATGTAATTTAAAAGAAAATGGAAATTAGAAGGGGCCGGTTTCAGTTTGAGGGGCCTTGGGCCCCATGACTTCCTCTACGATTGTCCCTGCATTGTTTTTGCCTACATGTAGGTCCAAATACAGCAAGGTATGTAGGAGTAAGTATGGACAGTTCTGGAGGTGTGATGGGTTCCACTTGGGTCTAAATATGGGAAGGTCTGTAATGAGATTTTATCTTGAAATGTGGTGTTGATTATATTTATGCCCAAATATGGAAAGTTTTGAAATGACCTTTTATCTTGAAATCTTCCGTAATTGTATTGCTTTCAAGAAGAATGTAATCAAACTTAGATTTCAAGAGATCGTATCCTTCAGCGCAAGCGTAATCAGTGAGATGTATTGAAAGTTTATTATATTCCCTAGTTGATCTCTAAAAGCATCCTCAAGATTATTTGTTCCATTTCATTATTTGTATCTTGAAAATAATGAACTAAGATTTCATTTTAAATTGAATGGCTTTGTATAAAGTACATATCTGACTAACAGCAGCCTGTCCTAGTAACGTACACGTGTAATGGTTATTGAAGAAGGTGAGGAGAAATCACTTACACGATGAAATTAACATTCGGGATACAAATCATAAAGTAGTCCGTGTGTCTCGGATAACATTTACCAGTAATCAGGGTTGTCGTCGGAGGAAGCCTGGTATTTTCCCATCAATAAAGAACGGTGTGTTTAGTTGGTGCACCAGTAGAAGATGATGGTGGATTCTGTGTTATAGCACAACCAAAGCTGATTACTACACCTGGGCCAGGCCTGGGTACCTGATTACTACACCTGGGCCAGGCCTGAGTCGGACCCAATGTGTTTGTTTGTCACCCACAGGTGCCACTTTCAATTTCAGGTAAAGAAGATTGCTAATTAGACAGGATAGGCAGTGATTAGTAGTCGGTAATTCCGCCACACTAATCCCCACCATTCTGTAACTAAATCTACATCATCGTCCATCATACATATATCTAATCACTTTTCTACGGGTTTAATGACTGCTACATAAAGTACACCAACCCTCCTGTCCAACTGTTGACGTGTTGATCTCTGGTCTTTCAAATAAAAACAGTGCAAAGTGTATTGTAGAAAGAATTCAGCTAAAGTCCAAAATATTTAATTCAAGATTTTGTGAAATCCTGCAATAAAGGAGAAACATGTTTTTAAACCCGAATGAGCATATGTATCTATACATAATTATGTTTCAGGCCAAGTTTTCAATCTATCGCTCCATTTCACTGATTGAGATATACTTTGTCGAATGGGGAAATACTATTTAAAGTTCTCTGTTAAAACAGGGTAATACTTTTAATCAATACCTTCATTACATTGATTGAGGTGTATTTGTTAATGGGGATGTATTGCTTGAGGTTAAAACAGTAAAGATTCCATATTCAGGACACAGTATTGATCGTATGTGATTTTGATGCTCCTCATATATATGAACAGATCAGGCCTGATATCAATATCCCTTCATTTCTCCCTCAAAAGACAAGATTGCGCCTGATATTGGAAATACTTTGAGTATTCCTTAAAAGAATGGCTAGGCCTTAATATCACAACACATGGAATCCTCTTCAAAAGTTAAGACAAGCCCTGATATTACAAACACCTTGAGTTTATGTTTTATTAGTCTGTTCATAAAACAATTACACGTCCTTGTTATAACTGAGGTCATCCCTGTATGTATAGAGGATCTGTCATAAGTTTCCCTTCATATTATGGTACAGGTAAGAAAAGATCCAAAATGAATATCATAAATCTAATATGAATGGAAACCAATGATAGATTCTTTTCATCATATACAAAGTAAACTGTATAATTGTGATCTGAAACAAATATTTTGCACTTGGCCGCCTATGAAACCATGAAAATTGCCTCTGCTTCACAATGATATGATGTCATATTGATTTTTCCAATTCGATTATGACGTCATTTCCGGAGTCATATTACACACGTTACAAAAACATAATTTATGTTATGCATATATAATTGAGTTTTGTGTACAGGACAAGTTTGCGGTACTTTTTACCTCCCCAGTGGGTGATATAACTATCCCTGTATATCTAATAATACAATGATTTTTTTGTGTACAGGACAAGCTTGCTGTACTTTTTACCTCCCCAGTGGGTGATGTCACTATCCCTGTATATCTAATAATACAATGATTTTTGTGTACGGGACAAGCTTGCGGTACTTTTTACCTCCCCTGTGGGTGATGTAACTATCCCTGTATATCTAATAAAACAATGATTTTTGTGTACAGGACAAGCTTGCTGTACTTTTTACCTCCCCAGTGGGTGATGTTACTATCCCTGTATATCTAATAATACAATGATTTTTTTGTGTACAGGACAAGCTTGCGGTACTTTTTACCTCCCCAGTGGGTGATGTTACTATCCCTGTATATCTAATAATACAACGATTTTTTTGTGTACAGGACAAGCTTGCTGTACTTTTTACCTCCCCAGTGGGTGATTGAACTATCCCTGTATATCTAATAATACATTGATTTTTGTGTACAGGACAAGCTTGCTGTACTTTTTACCTGCCCAGTGGGTGATATAACTATCCCTGTATATCTAATAACACAATGAGTTTTGTGTACAGGACAAGCTTGCGGTACTTTTTACCTCCCCAGTGGGGGATGTAACTATCCCTGTATATCTAATAATACAATGATTTTTTTGTGTACAGGACAAGCTTGCGGGACTTTTTACCTCCCCAGTGGGTGATGTTACTATCCCTGTATATCTAATAATACATTGATTTTTGTGTACAGGACAAGCTTGCTGTACTTTTTACCTGCCCAGTGGGTGATATAACTATCCCTGTATATCTAATAACACAATGAGTTTTGTGTACAGGACAAGATTGCGGTACTTTTTACCTCCCCAGTGGGGGATATAACTATCCCTGTATATCTAATAACTCAATGATTTTTGTGTACAGGACAAGCTTGCAGTACTTTTTACCGCCCCAGTGGGTGATATAACTATCCCTGTATATCTAATAACTCAATGATTTTTGTGTACAGGACAAGCTTGCTGTACTTTTTACCTGCCCAGTGGGTGATATAACTATCCCTGTATATCTAATAATACAATGGTTTTTGTGTACAGGACAAGCTTGCGGTCCTTTTTACCTCCCCAGTGGGTGATGTTACTATCCCTGTATATCTAATAATACAATGACTTTTGTGTACAGGACAAGCTTGCAGTACTTTTTACCGCCCCAGTGGGTGATATAACTATCCCTGTATATCTAATAACACAATGAGTTTTGTGTACAGGACAAGCTTGCGGGACTTTTTACCTCCCCAGTGGGTGATATAACTAGCCCTGTATATCTAATAACACAATGAGTTTTGTGTACAGGACAAGCTTGCGGTACTCTTTACCTCCCCAGTGGGTGATGTAACTATACCTGTATATCTAATAATACAATGATTTTTGTGTACAGGACACGCTTGCTGTACTTTTTACCTCCCCAGTGGGCGATATAACTATCCCTGTATATCTAATAACTCAATGAGTTTTGTGTACAGGACAAGCTTGCGGTTCTTTTTACCTCCCCAGTGGGTGATATAACTAGCCCTGTATATCTAATAACACAATGAGTTATGTGTACAGGACAAGCTTGCGGTACTTTTTACCTCCCCAGTGGGTGATGGACAAAGATGCCATATCAACCATGTCGCTAGAAGAGCTGGCTGCCTTCCCTCTAGATGACTTTTTTGACCACTACGAAAAGGGACTCCGGAAGGTAAGCTGTCTAATTCACAGAGAACACGGCAGTGAAGAAAAATTCTTTTCTTTAATATTTATCATTGGCATTTTCTCAACTGATAACACAGGATCACCAACTTTTGTTATATATTATGCAATTTTACAATTTGACGGTGTCCTATTGTTTCTAAATTTATCATTTCAGCTCCACTGTTATTGGTTAGAACTGTTCAGAAATTAAACTTCTTTTATTTGTTGTAGTTGGTTGGAAATTTCCAGACGGAGGCCACACAACGAAAGCAGGAGTGTGAAGCATCCATGGCTAAACTGTCTGCTGTTCGTAAACTTATCGCAAAACTTCTCAAGTCTATAAATGAGGTAAGCTTTATATAGTCATGCAGGTCGGCATATACAGCCAAGTATGCTACAGGGTTACGTGTTTAGTACCTGTGTTTGTCTATGTGTAGTTGAGAACAATAAAGGCTTGTGTGTTTAGCATTCGTTTTAAGTCTACATATGGTCAAGTACAGTGCAGATGAAATGTTCCTGTTTAACTCTAGCACCCGGCACTGATTTGTTTAATGAAAGTCCTTGCACAACTTTTTCTGAACAGCTTTTAAATGTAAAATATTGTGATAATTTGTCCCAACACCAAATATTTGGCAAATATTACGGTATGGTAGTTGTATTAATTGTACAGTGGTCATATTTACTGTACAGAAACTATATTTACTGTAAAGTGGTCATATTTACTGTACAGAAACTATATTTACTGTAAAGTGGTCATATTTACTTACAGAAACTATATTTACTGTTAAGTGGTAATATTTACTGTACAGAAACTATATTTACTGTACAGTGGTTGTATTTGTTTTAGAGTGATTATATTTACTGTACAGTGGTTACAAATTTTGATATTTTTTTTTCACGTTCTGAACACAATGCACATTTCCATAACAACTATAAGAAGTTACCAATGTGTAAAACAAATAAAGATAGTAAGCAGTGTAGCTCAAATTGAAACAACTGCAAGTTTGGCATCAGTTCAGCAACACTAGAACCTCCCGATATTCAAGCACTGTATACTGGTAGATTTCATGTGAAAGCAGAGTTTTATTATCTTTCAAGCACACTTTATAATCCTTCATTTAATTTTCCTTAAATCCTTGATGTTTGACAGTTCTACTTAAACGTTCACAGTTCTAGGTAAAGGTTTAAGGAAACTTGCTCTTTAGTGTCGAAGATGTTGGTAAAGTCACAAGCTGAGAGTGAGTTCTGTTTTAATGTTATGTTAATGGTAACATCTAATTTAATTGGCCATGCTGAAATTGTCTTGATAAAGATGTTTTTAAAATGATTTTGGCTTGAAAATGAAATTAAAAGTTGCTGACTTGATTCGTGTCATTAGAAGACATAGCGCTGTATCATGGATATCAATTTAGAAAGACGTCACAAACAGAATTAAACTTTAAATCACTGACTACCATTTGGAGGAATGTAATGGTCCGACATTAGCCATGTATTAGCTACATTTTGACTGATGACTTGTCTTTACAACAATTTGATAGAGATGTATATATAATGGTATTAAAGCGAGGCTTTATTAATGGCAATGGCTAGGGTTCTAATTGAAATAAAATTCTCGTAGTCGGATAACCAAGACGAAGACCGTCAGAAATCTAATGATCCACAAACCATGTATATTGTGTGGCGACAAGATAAAAGCTCCGTGACTGTAATAGCAGTATTTGAAGAGGCTTGAATTTGTGCGTAAGACTTTGATGTGAATTTACATGGTTTACAACCAGGCAGCCCCCTTTGTTACCCTCAGATGATAATTTTTGTGTAACATTTTGGATCCAGATTCCATCTCTTTACCGCCAGCTTTAATGAAACTTGCATGAGCGAGTGGCCGTGCTCTGTCGAACACTCATTAGTAACTGTGGCCACAAATAGTTAAGTCAATATTTTTGGCTTTTGATGCAGTATGCTTACATCCAGGGGAACACACAGAGAGAATGGGGTCTAGACGTCACAGACAGTATTTCATGTCCACAAAACAGATTGAAATGGAAAAGATTGGTAAATTTATCAAGATTTAAAAGTAAATTTACTGATTAGCGACAGAGGGCGTATCTTCTAGTACATACAGATTAGTATTTCTGTGGGCTGATGGAATTGCGTAACTTATCGCTGCATCTCTAGTAAATCTGTGTACGGGTCTTGTGAAAGTTTAAAGCGCGGAAACGTTATGTTTGATACTGCCTCGTCTAATGTGGAGAATTGTGTGCATTATCTGTTATCATTGGCCCTCCTGTAGCATGGTATTAGATATACTCCATTGTATTGTAACGGATACGGTGAGCTCCATCGTATTGTAACGGATACGGTGAGCTCCATCGTATTGTAATGGATACAGTGAGCTCCATGGTATTAGATATACTCCATTGTATTGTAACAGATACGGTGAGCTCCATGGTATTGTAATGGATACAGTGAGCTCCATCGCATTGTAATGGATACAGTGAGCTCCATGGTATTAGATATACTCCATTGTATTGTAACAAATACAGTGAGCTCCATGGTATTGTAACGGATACGGTGAGCTCCATCGTATTGTAATGGATACAGTGAGCTCCATCGTATTGTAATGGATACAGTGAGCTCCATGGTATTAGATATACTCAATTGTATTGTAACAGATACGGTGAGCTCCATGGTATTGTAATGGATACAGTGAGCTCCATCGTATTGTAATGGATACAGTGAGCTCCATGATATTAGATATACTCCATTGTATTGTAACAGATACAGTGAGCTCCATGGTAATGTAATGGTTACAGTGAGCTCCATACAGTGAGCTCCATCGTATTGTAATCCATGGTATTAGATATACTCAATTGTATTGTAACAGATACGGTGAGCTCCATGGTATTGTAATGGATACAGTGAGCTACATCGTATTGTAATGGATACAGTGAGCTCCATCGTATTAGATATACTCCATGGTATTGTAACAGATACCGTGAGCTCCATGGTATTGGAATGGATACAGTGAGCTCCATCGTATTGTAACGGATACGGTGAGCTCCATCGTATTGTAACAGATACGGTGAGCTCCATCGTATTAGATATACTCCATGGTATTGTAACAGATACCGTGAGCTCCATGGTATTGTAATGGATACAGTGAGCTCCATCGTATTGTAATGGATACAGTGATCTCCATCGTATTGTAATGGGTACAGTGAGCTCCATGGGATTGTAATGGATACAGTGATCTCCATCGTATTGTAACAGATACGGTGAGCTCCATGGTATTTTAATGGATACAGTGAGCGCCATCGTATTGTAATGGATACAGTGAGCTCCATCGTATTGTAACGGATACGGTGAGCTCCATGTTGAAAGTGTATAATTAGACAAGTACACACACACAGTACAGTTATTGAATGTCAAACCAGGTATTCTTTATCTCACCAACCCTAGCCTAAACTCTAAAACAATAAAAAACAACCACTCTTTGACTTCAACCAGAGAAATCTCCATGTCTTCTTAGTAATACAACCCACTTCCTACGGACTAAGCTAGGGAGAATATCTCATTAACTGGTAGAGCATCAGATCAGTTTACCAGAGGTCCGAGGTTCGATTCCTAGTGGAGGCATTAAAAAAATGATTCTGTTTATCAATCTTTCATAATCCAAATATTTGGCATGAAAATCAGTCCATGTGAAATTTTGAAAATGAGATCTCTGATAAATACGTTTTTGAAGAATAGATTATGAGTCTGAAAATGAGGTTTCCACCAAAATACACATGTTTTTTGAGAATTCTGTTTGAAGGCTAGTATCAAAGTTGACAACAATAATATCATTGGGTTAATGCATTATAGCTGGCACTGGGATGTGTGTAATTATATTCTAAAATGAGATTTCCACCATAATAGTTATGTTTTATGAGAATTGATCTTAAAACTGGTACCAATGTTGAACTGGTTCAATGCATTAAAGCTTGTAGAGGATGGAATATTATCCAACTCATAGCTCCATAGACTGCACATGTCGGGGGAGACCACACAAGCCAGCAGTGATAGAGCAGTATCGGAGTAAATCAAAGGGGCACATCATTAATAGGGGCACCTGATAAAACGTCACGCTACATACAAAAACAATTGTGTCCACATCAGATAGTGTGTGGTATCGGGGGCTGAGTGGCATCTCTGAAAGCAAGCCATACATCTTGTCATCAATATTCATTATAGGACTTCACGACCGATAAGGAAATGCCCGGTATTTGCATCGATCTCGGCCTCCTGGAATTAATTGGCATACATATGGCTAAGTGTTGACAAATGTTCACACCTCTGCTTCAGCTGATAAACGCGCATCCCGGACGGGGATGAGAGATTTCCATGTAGGGAATGGCCTTATTGGATAAATGATGTTGCATCCCTTACAAAGGTCATACCAGTTCTCTTCCTCTATTTTAGTCAAATCTCTCTCTCCTAACCTGCACATATCATATCATATATATCACCTCAATCTTGTAGGCGGGGGTGGGCATCGTGGATGAGCGGGGGTCAGTGGATGGGGGAGGGGGAGGGGTGGAGCCATGGATAGTACACTCACTGTTCACCAACATGGCCAGAGTCCTTGATCGGATGTGAAAAGGTTTTGGGTCACCCACCAACCACATTTGTTTTCTCCAGGTGCTCTGGTTCCTTCCATCATTAAGGCTTTCCTTGGTGCTTCCTTCTGTAGAATAATTATCTGCCCTCTCCATATATAATCACTTATACTGGTCACCTCAGTATTCCCTCTCTTAGTCATATCTCTTAACATAGTCACCTCAGTGTTCACTCTCTTAGTCATATCTCTTAACATAGTCGCCTCAGTGTTCTCTCTCTTAGTAATATCTCTTAACATAGTCACCTCAGTGTTCACTCTCTTAGTCATATCTTTTAACATAGTCGCCTCAGTGTTCACTCTTAGTCATAACTCTTAACATAGTCACCTCAATGTTCACTCTCTTAGTCATATCTCTTAACATAGTCACCTCAGTGTTCTCTCTATTAGTCATATCTCTTAACATAGTCACTTCAGTGTTCACTCTCTTAGTAATATCTCTTAACATAATCACCTCAGTGTTCATTCTCTGAGTCATATCTCTTAACATAGTCGCCTCAGTGTTCACTCTCTTAGTCATATCTCTTAACATAGTCACTTCAGTGTTCACTCTTAGTCATAACTCTTAACATAGTCACCTCAGTGTTCACTCTTAGTCATATCTCTTAACATAGTCGCCTCAGTGTTCGATCTCTCTGTCATAACTCTTAACATAGTCGCCTCAGTGTTCACTCTCTTAGTCATATCTTTT